AAACAAAGTCCAAGCTAGTCATTTTATGTCTTACTTGATACGGCAGCCCTAGGAATTAAGATTTTAAAATACTTTTAATTAAAAAAGATATACATGCAGTATGTGTGAACATTTGTGCATGCACACGTACGTGTGTGTTTGTGTGCGTGTGAAGTCATATGTATTTCACAGTGCACATGTGAAGGTCAGAGGATAACTCATGGAATCTGTTCTCTTTCCACCTTGTGAGTTTCAGGAATCAAAGTCAGGACATTAGGCTGGGTGTCAAGTGCTGAACCATCTTGCCAGCCTAGAATTGGGATTTTTATCGTTCCCCTTTGACAAAGAAGGAGACCAATTTTGAGAGAGATGAAATAGCTTGCCCACAGGCACAGAGATCTTTTGTGATTGCTAGGCTTTTTACTTCTTTTTAAAAATATTTTATTGGTTTTTCAAGACAGGGTTTCTCTGTGTAATATCCCTAGCTGTCCTGAAACTAGCTCTATAGATCAGGGTGGCCTTGAACTCACAATGATGGGCCTGCCTCTGCCTCCCGAGTGCTGGGGATTAAAGTAAAGGCCTGTCCCACCAGTGTCCGCGGTTGTTAGTGTTTCAACTGAGATCCAGAGCCCATGTTCTTTACACTGAGCTCTACTTTCGAAGGTACTATCAAGCGCCCTACATTGGGAGTGATGCTAGACTACCAAGCAGTCAGTCTTACTGAGTATAGGCAAGGAACCCAAGGCTGTGACCCAAGGTTCCAAGAGCCTTCAAGTTGTCTCCTTCAGGTTTGGGGGCATAGTTCACTGGTAGAATATGTGTTTAGGCTATGTGAGGTTTTGGCTTATAGCCCCAGCACCACTAAATAAATAAAAAATAAAATTCAAGCAAGAAATCTCTTTTGCTTGCACTTAAGACACTCAAGAGAGCGCTTGGAGTTTGCTCTTCACACTTTGGCTGTCTCACTTTGGGCATGAGTACTACAGGTGTTCAGAGCTAGAAAAGACCTTAGAAAAAAGTCTCAAATCCAAAGTCCTCATTTTAGAGGTAGGGAACTGGAACTCAGAGTGGGAAAGTGACTTACCTTAGATCAAATAAGATCAAGCCTAATCCCTTTTTCGTCACTCTTTCTGGATTTCCCATTGCCGGGCTTAGAAGAGTACATAAGTCTTAAGTCCATTTAACCCAGAAGGTTATTTGTGAGAACAACATGGAGGGACCCAACAAAGGAAAGCTAGCTGCTTTTCCTGGTCAATCTAGGAAAGATGGAGTCATATTCCAACTCCCAAAGGAAGGGAGGAGCTTTTCTTAATAACTTTTATGGGCATTGCATTGAATCCATTTTTTCTTAATAACTTAATAATTATGCATTATGTATGTGTCACCTACAAGTTTAGCTAAACCATTTTGCATCTGTCTCGGGCTAAAAGCATCAGAAACCAATAAATAGGGCTGGGAGGGTTTAGGCTTTGCTGAACCATTCTTGGTAACATTTACAGAAAGTGGCCCTTCTGTCTAGCTTGGGCACTCCTATACGCTGAGCACTACAGCAGCAGGTCAGCCATGGCTACAGACAGGCATGGCCCAGATGCAGGGTTCTCCCCTCTGCTGATCCCTGGGGAAAACACCTTCCTGTGCTACATTACTAAGCGCAAGGAGGCTGAGCTCAGTGTTCCTTACAAGTTGCCTACGGTCAGAATGACGTCATGTTTTCTG